CAACATTAGCCACCTTTAGCTTAGCGGTGGTGACGTGAAGTCATGTGACTGTGCTGTAGTTCCTTTATAGCCCAACATCAGCAACCTTTAGCTTAGCGGTAGTTGCGTCAAGTCACGTGACCGTGCTGTAGTTCCTTTTNGTCATGTGACCGTGCTGTAGTTCCTTTATAGCCCAACATTAGCCACCTTTAGCTTAGCGGTGGTGACGTGAAGTCATGTGACCGTGCTGTAGTTCCTTTATACCCCAACATTAGCCACCTTTAGCTTAGCGGTGGTGACGTGAAGTCATGTGACCGTGCTGTAGTTCCTTTATAGCCAGTTCCTTTATAGCCCAACATTAGCCACCTTTAGCTTAGCGGTGGTGACGTGAAGTCATGTGACCGTGCTGTAGTTCCTTTATAGCCCAACATTAGCCACCTTTAGCTTAGCGGTGGTCACGTGAAGTCATGTGACCGTGCTGTAGTTCCTTTATAGCCCAACATTAGCCACCTTTAGCTTAGCGGTGGGGACGTGAAGTCATGTGACCGTGCTGTAGTTCCTTTATAGCCCAACATTAGCCACCTTTAGCTTAACGGTGGTGACGTGAAGTCATGTGACCGTGCTGTAGTTCCTTTATAGCCCAACATCAGCCACCTTTAGCTTAGCGCTAGTGACGTGAAGTCATGTGACCGTGCTGTAGTTCCTTTATAGCCCAACATCAGCCACCTTTAGCTTAGCGCTAGTGACGTGAAGTCATGTGACCGTGCTGTAGAGCCTTTATAGCCCAACATTAGCTTTTTACTTCAATAATCATAAAGTGGTGCTAATATGTGGAGATTATCCGGTTTAACAGAAAGTTTAACCGTCATAAATGATCGACACAGAGTTTATATTCTGACATTTTCCAAAATCCAATGTAAAAATCCCTTGCTTGCGATGCTAATGTGTTTCCACATGATGATCTCACCTATAATTCGGATCCTTCCTATCTTGTCCATGAACAAAGCAGAGAGGATGTTCCCCGGTAAGACGGCCAGACTCCCCAGGAAGCTGACCATATATATTACGATGTCGTTTTCCTCCAGGAAGTTCAGGTGGCAGCCTTTCTTCGGGTGGAGGAAGGTGGTGTTCTCCATCTTGCAATCTTTAAACTTCTCCTCCCAGAGGTCTGCAGAGAACACAGGGATGTTAAAGGATAACAATTTTTGATTTACATTGTAAACAAATAATTGTAACTCCTAGAGCTGGATGATTAACATATTTGCAAAGTATTAATACCTTTTATTTTATTTCTCATTTATGGCAGCATTAAAGTTTCAAACTATATATTTTTTTTTATTTGAACTAAATCAACATTTCTGGCTGAAGCTGAGAGCAGAAAAGTTACTGAAATATTTTGTAACAAACTATCATCATAATATCCAGATTTATTCATCTCGCAACCGTGAGTTAAAACATTTTTTTTAAATAAAATACATCCAATGAATTGTGGATATTACCATTAACATTAACACATCAAAGCTATTTGTTTTGTTTCTCTAATATAAAATCAAACCAAACAAAGAACCCACAAAATGGATATTTTTCCATCCATTACCTTCAGTTAACTGTTTGTTTTGTCTTTTATAAGTACATTTATTGAGCCCTAAACTTTAAGAAATCCACGTAAAGTAAAAGTAATATTAAAATGTTTTGACTAATTCTGCATGGTACCTGTGTTATAGAAGACGGTGTTTTTGATGGTGCAGTTCTCAAAGAAGGTGTTGGTGGACCTGACATCCTCAAAGTAGCAGTTTTCAAACAGAGAATCCTCGAACTTCACAGACTTAATCTCAATGTTTGCGAACCTGAATGAAAGGAAAAGGAATCTCATCAAACATAAACCTCATG